TTGGGGAATTAGGGGTCCTCTTCCTCCCTACCCTTGAGAAGTGCTGTCTTGCGCTAGTAGAAGTTATAGGGATGCCTGAGGACTGCCGACAGTGAAACCTGTAAAGACCTTCAGCCATTTCACATGTATCCCAATGGGAAATTGTTTGTCTGGCTGCCCAGCCAACTAAACTGTCTGAATAGAACCCGGAAGTCAGCTGGTTGGAGCCAACTTCTTTCATATTTCAAATTGTAAAAATAACAGACATTTGTAACCTGTGCGGTCACCTAAAAATCAGTTCAAGAGACTAGGTTCTGGAAAAAAAAAATATATCTGACTAATCAGTCATCAGGAACAATATTCCATCTAAGAGATAGTAAGAACTGCCGTTGTTGGAGTCTGAGATAACACAGTGTGGAGCTGGAGGAACATAGAGGCCAGGCAGCATCAGAGGAGCAGGAAAGCTGACGTTTCAGGTCAGGACCCTTCTTCAGAAATGAGAGGGGGGGGGGGAAGGGGGCTCTGAAATAAATTGGGGGGGGGGGTGGTGGTCGGGCTGGGGTAGTTAGGTAGGATGGTGATAGGCGAGTGCAGGTAGGCAGTGGTGGGGATTGGTCAGTGAGGTGGGAGGAGTGGATAGGTGGGAGAGAAGATGGACAGGTCAGGGTGGTGGGCATGGGAGGGAGGGTTGGTCATGGGATGAGACTGGAGGTGGGGAGATTTTGAAGCTAGCAAAGTCCACATTGAGACTATCGGGTCTCCCAAGGAGGAATATCTCCATCCCACCTACCTTCCCCAGCTCCGCCCCTCCTCTCTCTATTTATTTCTGAGCTCCCTTGCCCCTCCCCATTTCTGAAGAAGGGTCCTGAAACGAAACGTCAGCTTTCTTGCTCCTCTGATGCTGCCTGGCCTGCTGTGTTCCACCAGCTCCACACTCTAATATTCCATCTAAGCTGTGTGGTTATCCAAAGTTTCCCCACACAAGCCACGTTAAAGTTGACACCTTTGAGTCTGTGTGTTGAAGAAATGTAAAGGGCCCGTATGCTTATGTAAATCACCTGTGCACGACAACAAGAAATGTAGAGTGTCTGTGGGTTAGAATTTGTTGTTGGATAACAGTTTCTCTTGTGAGATAATTCATATTTACAATTTAATGCCAATTTTGGATTTTAGTGTAATTTGGAATGAAATCCTGCATGTGAAGAGTTTAGAGAGATTTACAGCACGGAAACAGGGCCTTTGATTTGTTGTATCCACACCAGCCATCAAGCACCTGTCTACTCAAATCCCATGTTTCAAGCATGTGATCCATAGCCTTGTACATGATTGGTGCTTCAAGCAGTTACTTAAACTCTTTAAATGTTGTTAGGGTTCCTCTCCTTACCACCCTTGCAGACAATAATTTCCAAATATACGCTATCATCTAGGTGAAAAGCTATTTACTCAAATATCCTCTAAAACGTCTGCCCCTTACCTTAAATATATGCCCCTGGTCACTGACCCCTCTCCTACAGAAATGCATTTCTCCCTATCCATGCCTTCTTAACCACCTCATCTATTTGTTCTTGAACATACGGACATGTACACCAAAGTTCCTTTGATCCTCTTCTTGTGGTCTTACCATTCATCACGTATCCCCTTGCCTTGTAAGTCTTCCCAAAATGCATGATCTCTCATGTTTCGGGATTACATTCCATTTGCCACTGTTCTGCCCAGGTTAATTTATTAACATACACCTCAAAGCAAGTGACCAAGCACCAAGACCTGTGATATCCCATCGGACACAGACTTCCAGTGAAAAAAAAATCTTCAACCATCACCTTTTGCTTACTCCGACTAAGCCAATTTTGGATTCAGTTTGACAGTAACCCTGGAACCCATGGGTTCTTGTCTTCTTGATCAACAAGAGACCTTGTCAAAAGCCTTATTGAAGTCTGCGTATGCAGGATTCATCAGCTACATTGCACATCCACAAATCTAGTCACCTTCTTGAAAATTCAATTTTGTTAGACACAATCTCTCCTGATCAAAACCTTGCCCCTCAAAGTAGGGATTAATTCTGTCCTTCAGAATTCTTTCCAATCGTTTCCTTAGCACTGATTTAGACTGACTGGCATGTAGTTTACTGGTTTATCCCTACCATCTTTCTCAAACAATGGTAAAATATTAGATAACAAGGTGTAGAGCTGGATGAACACAGCAGGCCAAGCAGCATCAGAGGAGCTAC